GATAGGAACTGTTTTGCGTTTTTGCCGGATGAAATATGCTATGATGTTGTGGAAATCTGAACAATGTGTCCCCATATGAAATTAAATAGGCTGCTGTTAATCCCTCAATATATCCATTCCCACATAACTGAAGTTTAATTAACTTGGATGTTGGCTGGCGTTATCTTCAGTTTTGACGACGGCAGAACGAACTTGTTGATCCTTCCCGACAAACACTTTTATGACTCTTCCTTTTTTCCAAGTACTTATCGGTGCAGTGGCGTCCATTACAAGTACTAAGTCGTAATCTTGAAATGGATTTGCTTTATGATGCCATTTAGTTCTACACATGAGTTGAGGGAGATACTGAATTATCCACCTCTTCCATAAGCGACCCTTAAGGGCTTGAGCGATCCTCCATTGCATCCTTGGGCAAATAGCTTCATGCGGTGGGTGTGGGGTTTTGCGTTGAATTTGTGCATCCCATTAGAAAGTGGTTTGGCTCTGCTTCATGTGTTTAGGGTATTTCACTTAAAGGTCGCTCATTCAGAATGTTTTCCGCTCTCGCGTGGGTAAATATCGCGAAAAGTTATTTTCAACAATCCCTTTATAATTCGAACTAACCTTTCCCAACACCCACCGGCGTTAGGTTGAAGTGGACAGTTGAAGATCCACTTAATACCCATGATCATTGAGCTCTTTATTACCACCGATGAAGCTTGTGCCGTTATAGCATAAAGTAATGAACTATATAGAGGCGCCAATTGCTCTGCCGCTCTCTTTAGATAATGAGGCTATGATGCCACCTAGGCGAAAAAAGCTTATTTCCCCTCTTTTTGTAAAGTTCGATCGAACTTGTAATTCATTCCCACCTCATTCTGCACCGCTCTTGCTCACTGTTTTGTTTTTGTTTTTAATCGAAATCCCTATTGCTTCCCACCTAAGTTAGCTTCAAACTTGGCCTTGAATTGGCTCTTAGCAGAGGTTGGGCAGAGGTTCGGGCAGAGCAATTGGCGACTCTATATAGATTCTTACTCTATGGTAATAGCTTCGAATATTTACAGGTATACCCCTACGGTTGACGAAATTTCGTAGACAGATTTTAAATGCCTCTGTCGAAAGGTGCGCAGCTAGTTCAAGATGAGTTGCTCTGCATGTCATGCAAGTAAAGATACCTGCCCAGCGCTTTTCGTGGCGGCGACCGACTGATATGGTTAGTGGACCAAACAAATCCACCCCTGTATGTGTAAATGGCCTAACGTAGGGCGTCAACCGATCAGGTGGCAATTGACCCATTTGAGGGGGTTTCGATAATCCTCTGTCTATGACACACCCAGAGCATTCGAGCTTTAGTTTGTTGAGCAATTTCCTGGCACGCAGAATCCAAAACTTTTGTCGACATTCGTTGACTATAACCGCCTGATTTTGATGATGATATTTTACATTAAAGTATCTCATGATAAGGGTGGACACTTTGTAATCTGTCGGAAGCAGAATAGGTCGCCATCTCGAGGTCGGTAAAGATGATGCCTCATCTATTCGACCCGCGAGGTGTAAAAGGCCATCTGTCTCTATGTAAGGCGAAAGTCCATAAATTGCACTATCCCCTAACAGCACTTTGTTGTTCAGCAATGACGTGATCTCATTTGCGTGGCGAAGGTGCTCAAGGATGACGATATCCAGTTCCATTGCGCTGATGTAGTACTGGCTTAGATCTCTCGGTGGCCGACAAATGGTTTAAACTTGCTTGCTTTCGAAAAAATCCACAGCACTACGGTTTTGGAATCACTCCAAAACAAAATGTCTTCTATAGGTAGCTTAAGATGTTCTTGTATCAAGCGATTAACCGAACCCCAAGAATGGCAGCTTGCAGTTGCAATCTAGGAATAGAAAGGAACGCGTTTTTCCCATGACAAAGGCAGCATCAACTTTGGTTAGACTAAGAACATGTAAATAGGCAACAGCTGCAAAGGCGGTCTGCCTTGCGCCAACAAAAATATGCAATTCCAATTTTTCATAACATCTTAAGTTGGGAGACTATACTCGCGGAATTTTAAAATGGTGCATATGATACAGTTCTGACAGCCAGTAGCTCAGATTTTTATGTAACTGTGTTGGTATAGCCTCATCCCAATTTTTTCCATAGCTCTATGTATTCTGTACATGAATTTTAGCAGATATGTGATAGTCCGCAATCAAGCCAAATGGGTCAAATATTGCCATCTCTATGCCTAGAAGCTCTCTTAGTTGGAACTCGATCTCCATCTATTACTTCTTTCGGTACTCGATGAAACTTTGTTTCGAATTGAAAGACATCTTGCTGCGTATTCCACTACATGCCCAAGACCTGATCACTGCTCAATTGGTTACCATTGATGACGCTCTGTAATGTATCGGAATTCGAGCAAAAATACCGGAATTCGAAACCTCCATAACCATGAACCTGCACAATTTGTTTACAGATTTCGATGCCTTCTTCCTCTAAAGTAAAACTTATGACGAGATCATCCACGCAATGATGTTCAATATTAGCATCTGCTGCTCTTAGAAATGGCTCTCTGTACTGTTCAGCATTGCGATTCTTGACATAATCGGCGCAAAATGGTGAGCTTATGGCTCCAAGCACTAAGGAAGTCATAGCATAATGTCGAATTGGCTGTGTCGAGTCTCCATTTCGCCATAAAAAGCGCTGTGCGTGTTGAGCAGTTACGTGCACCTTTATTAGGAAAAACATTTCCCGTATATCTGCATATATACCTTCGACCTCAGCAGCAGCTTTAAACACAATTCGCGTTTTACCTGGCTTGTGTACTGTTAGTAAAGGTACTAAGTTCTCGAGCGTAGTCCTTTAAGAGATATTTGGCCATTTCCGTTTTGTATTTTTTAACAAACCCTGAGTGAGCGTTCATTTTCCTCTCGATTCCATGGAACCTCTTTTCAGGCATCCTGTAACTGTTAGTCATAATTACGTTTTCCTTCCATGGTAATAATATTGCAAAATTTTTTCCCAATCGAATTGTTGTTTCGGTGAACAGCTTTTTTGCTCTAATATCATCAACGGATTCTATTGGAGGCAAATTATTCAATCCAACATTTTCATATTCCACGAACTCGGTAACTACATCCTGGCATTTGGTCTCTGTTTCCACGAAATGTACGTGAAATGTTTCTGTATTGCGTTCTTTTGACATTTGCTGGCCTGGGCCATAAGCTAACAAACTCAGCTTTATGTTAATTGCTACTAGCTAGGTAGTTTGTTTTTCCAACATTTTTTTGCGGCAACCCCAAGTGGGCGTTATCGAGCCCGATTAGCCAAACTGGCTTGACGTGGGTATAATCAAGGATTGGTAGGTTGGTGAGGTGTTTATAGTGATACCTTGAAGTGGACTGTACTGGTAAATCTAGATTCCTTACAGTTTGTACTCCTTTTATGTCGTAATGTACTTCAGCGTGTACACTGGCTATTTCAAGTCATACTCTTTTAGACATTTCAATACTCTTTTTGTTATCATACCACTGTATAGTTAATGGGAATTGTTTACCTTTTAAGCCCAAATGATCTGCGATAACTTCCTCCAACAAGGTTACTGCACTTCCGTCGTCAAACATGGCGAATGTTTCCATTTTTAATTGGAATGATTTTAAATAGGTACGGAAGTGCGTCTGCAGAGTATGGATAGCAATTGAGTAAAGATTTCGAATCAGTGGGTTGACGGTTGAAGTTTGAGGGTTCAGGAAGTTCCGAGTGTGTAGAATTGTGTAGACTAACATGATGTGAATGATGGCAACCTTAAATTGCGCAATTTACCTTGTTTCTGCAAACCTGCATGTAATGCCCATATTTAAGACATGCGAAGCACAAACGGTTATCTTTCACAATGTCCCATCGTGATTTGACATCAGTTTGTTCATTCCAAGTTTTGCATGAGTCCAAATTATGTTCTTCTCTGCACAAACTGTCACCTGAGACTGTGTGTATGCTTTGCTTTGGTTTTCCAGCATGCAGCTGATCACGTTGTCCGTTGTCAGGTTACAAACGGTTGTCGTTTCAGCTTCGGCTCGGTACCTAAGTATAGGGGGCAGATGAATAGCGCGTGAGTTACCTACCCTACGGACCCCCCAACCAAACCACCTCGTGCTACCCTGGACGGCGGCCAACGATCGGTCAGTGGCCGCCCATAACAACCAGAAAGTGCAGCGTCAACAACAAGCAGGATGTAGCTCTGTCGCAACATCGGTTGACGACACCAAAGACACACACATACTTACACACACATATACTTACTCTTAGAATTACGAACATTGTATTTAGCTGAATAAGACATTTTCGTGCAGCAAGGGTATACATAAACCCAAGCTGAGTAATAAACTTCAATCTGAATTTCAAACTCAAACTGAGCGGCAGCGTTATTATTTTCTGTTCGGAAGACTACCAAACACTTGGCATTACGCCCATCTATACATAACTCCCATCTATACATAACTGGCGCAGTCGAACGGCCCTTCCAGGATCAGAAGACCAGAAGGGAGAACCCACAGGAATATGAAGATAATTTTAGTGTAAGTTAATATAAGTAAATACACCAAAAAAAAAAATAGAACAAGTGTGGAGGTGAAAAAAAGAAGATAATATGGATGGCAAAAGACAACAGTGATGGTGCAGTATGAAAAACAATATATATAAATATGCAATACAAAAAAAAAAATGGAAATAAAATATATATAAAAATACATATAAAGTGAAGTTTTTCCGTTGTTCAGTGCGAACACGGAAATAACAAAGATGAATAAATATTAAAATGCAAACAACCCAAAAAGTTCAGGGCGAACTTAGTGCTATGTTCAAAAGTGAATGGTAAATCATCTCTACAATTATTTTGTGATGAAAGCCAAATCATTTAAAAATAAAAATAAAAAAATTAAAAACAAGGGTGCAGTAATTTAACATCTCTACAGCTACGGTTGTGATGGTAAATTAAATGAGAGCATTAAAAAATATACAAATATACAAAAATAAAAACAAGTATACAAGAAATAAAAATTAAACAAAGGTGCGGTAATTTAACATCTCTACAGCTACGGTTGTGATGGTAAATTAAATAAGAGCATTAAGAATAAACAAATATATAAGAAAATCCGATATCTGGAATCTATTAAAGAAGTTCTCTTTATAGGTGAAATTCGACCCTCACACTGTCCGACTACCCTACGTCGAGGAAATATACACACACACCAACATAACACTCACACGATTGCAAGTATATATATAGAAAAACAATTACACATTATTTTTGCCCACACTGCCAGTCCATAAAAACTAAAGTCAAAAATTTTTCAGAGAATCTTCACCTCCACACCACCAATCACCAAATACGATATAAGTAAACCTTAATACGTAAGCGATAAATTAATTTCTAAGAAATTACCGAAATAAGAAAGTAAAGAGTAGATGTCGAAACTCAATAAAGTAAAAAACATACTTCCAGGTAGCAGAATCAGAACTAGACAGAGTACAAGTTTGCCAGACATTAGGGAAGAACCAATTAGTGCTGATCAGATAATTTTACGACCTCCATCTGTTAGTATGAGTTCCTCAGACACGTCTACGGTTAACACCAGCATTAATTCGGCCGAGGTTTATGCGTCCTTACGCATCCCGGACGCAATTAAATTTTTACCGGAATATAATGGGGACTCGAAATTACTAAGCGATTTTATTAATAACGTAGAAGAAATTTTAATGCTCATAAGGGGCACAGACCAGACCCCATATGGACAATTTTTGCTACGGTCCATTAAAAACAAAATAGTAGGGAAAGCCAAAGACATACTAACGGCCTCAGAGGCTGGCCTTAATTGGGACGAAATTAAAGAGGCATTAATTTTGCATTGTTCCGACAAAAGGGATGAACACACCCTTTCTATCGAACTTCACGGACTGATACACAAACAATTGTCAGTTCAAAAGTTGTTCGACCAGATTATAGATATAAAAACTCTCCTTTTCAAACTTATTGACACTAAAGAAACTGACCCTAACCTAGCTAGAGCAAAAAAATCGATATTTGCGGGAACTTGCCTAAACACCTTTTTGATGGGTATGAGAGGCCAACTAGGAGGTACGATTAGGGCTATGAAACCAAACAATCTGCAGGAAGCATACGATTGGGCAATACAGGAGAGAAACATATTTTTGCAGGGAACACAGACCAACACTAACCAACGTAATAATTATCAGCCTAGGGAAAGATACCCCCAATACAACAATAGATTACAATATAACGACAGAAATAGTAGGAGAGACGAGGTAAGGCGATATACAAGTTATAACAACAGAAACTACCGATACTCTGGACGGAACACAGAACGCAGCAATTCTAGTGGCAGGAATAGGGAAGTTCCGGCAATTATGCCGAAGCAGGAATCAACCGGTAGATCAAGCTACCCTAACACTAGATCTACTGCCAGATTACACAACATTGAGGAAGACAAACAACAGGAAAAACAGGAGAATAATCAAGTACATAATATTGATGAAGATTCAAATTTTTGGGACAGAGCCTCAAAGTCCAAACGGGATACTTAAACCAAGTGAGCCATGGGTGCCTACTTCCCTACATTGTCCTAACTCCATTCAAAGATGGCACACCATTGAAATTCTTAATAGACACTGGGGCAACTATGTCCTTCATAGACCCCTTAATAATTCCGCAAAAAGACCAAAAAAAACTCAATACCCCTATTCCAATCAAAACAGTACTGAAAGTCCATTTTATTGAAAAGAAAACAGAAGTCAAACTTTTTAACAATTGAAATGAGGAAAGAAAATTCGATATGTTTATATTCCATTTCCACGATTTTTTCCAAGGACTTATAGGAATGGATATTTTACAACAGATTAACGCAGTTGTTGATATTCCAAAACTACAACTCCAATCAATAGTCGGCAACCTGAAATTATATCAAGAACAAAATGTGGCCACCGGAGTACACGTAATCGACGAGGAGTCGAAAACCCTCGTTCGATTACCAGTTACTGTCACCGATGGCACATTTTTGTGCGACAACATCGACGTTAACAAAGACTTAGTCATAAACGGGGGCTTATATCAAGCAAAAGACGGATATAGTTTAATGGAAATCGTTAACTACTCTGAAGAAAAACAAAACCTATTTGTAGATTCTCAAATAAAGGTGAATGAATTCGCCCCATCTGATTATTTGGAAGCTAGACCGACTCTTGATTATATAACTAAAGGGAAAAGTTATAAGTCAAATAGCTTCGAACTCTTAAGGACAGACCATCTAAACGACGAAGAAAAGACAGAACTTAAGAAACTAACAAGGAAATTCCCCAATCTTTTCTATCAACAAAGCGACCCTCTTACCTTTACAAATCTTGTAAAACATAAAATTAAACTAACGGACGAAAATCCAATATATACTAAACCTTTTAGGTACAGCCACATTGAATCACAGGAAGTGCGAAGACAAATAAACGAAATGTTAGAACAGAAAGTGATCAAACATAGCCACAGCCCATGGAGTGCTCCAGTCTTTTTGGTCTCAAAAAAGATGGACGCTTCAAACAAAAAGAAATGGAGACTTGTAGTAGATTACAGAAAACTTAATGAGAAGACAATTAAAGACAAATATCCAATGCCAAATATAAACGAGGTACTAGATAGAATAGGAAGAGCAAAATACTTTACAGCTCTAGATCTGGCAAGTGGTTACCACCAGGTGGAAATGAAGCCCGAAGATACTGAAAAAACCGCCTTTTCAGCAGAAGGCGGCCACTTTGAGTTCATTCGGATGCCATTCGGCTTGACTAACGCCCCAGCCACATTTCAAAGAGTAATGGATAACGTATTAGCCGACCTAAACGGCAAATGCTGTCTGATATACCTAGACGACATAATTGTTTTCTCACCCTCTCTCCAGGAACACATGACCCACTTGAGCCAAATTTTCGAAAAACTATCAAAAGCTAGACTTAAACTTCAACCAGAAAAATCCGAATTTTTAAGGAAAGAAATCGAATACCTAGGACATGTAGTTACGGATGAAGGTGTTCGACCTAACCCAAAGAAGATAGAAGCCATTAAGGCATTTCCTATTCCCAAATCTAGAAAGGAAATCAAATCTTTTCTCGGACTTTTGGGGTATTATAGGAAGTTCATTAGAGATTTTGCGAAACTGACTAAGCCTCTAACCCAGAAATTAAAAGGAAAAGCACCGATAAAAATCGAAGCAGAGTTTACGGAAGCCGTAGAATTGTGTAAAACCTTATTGTGTAATGATCCAATTTTACGTTACCCAGATTTTACCAAACCCTTCATACTCACAACAGATGCTAGTAACGTAGCCATTGGTGCGGTATTATCACAGGGAAACGAAAACTCGGATAGGCCCGTTTCATTCGCAAGCAGAACCCTGTCCGACACGGAACTAAATTACTCGACAGTCGAAAAAGAAATGTTGGCCATTATCTGGGCTACTAAATATTTTAGACCATACCTATTCGGACAGAGATTTAAAATACGGACAGATCACAAACCACTGAAGTGGTTAATGAACTTCAAAGAACCAAACTCAAAATTGGTCCGCTGGAAGTTACAACTCAATGAATATGACTACGAGGTCGAATATAAAAAAGGATCTCAAAATCTAGTAGCAGACGCATTAAGTCGAGTTAATTTAGAAGCTAACACCCATAGTGTAGACGTAGGGAAATACGAGATTAAGAACTCGGAAACTCCACTAAATGAATTTAACATCCAAATTGTCATTTTAATGAACCCCAATTCAACAACAAAAGACGAGACCTTGTTTGAAAATAAAACACGAAAAACATACGCAGAACCGAATTTTACCACCGAAAAGCTATCAGAAATTCTCAACGATACTTTAAGACCACAAAAAGCTTGTGCAATCTTAACTTCGGACGAAATTTTTGAGTTAATTCGACCTATTATTAAAGAACATTTCACCAAAACAAACAAATATAACGTGGTCCGCTGTAAAGAAATTCTTAGGGATATTCTAACAGAAGAAGAACAGGAAGCAGAAATTAAAAATTATCACATTAAATCCAATCACAGAGGAGCTGAAGAGACCTTTAATCATCTTAGAAGAACTATCTACTTTCCAAAAATGCGGCAAGCAATATCAAAGTTTACTAACAATTGCGATATCTGCCAAACGCTAAAATACGATAGACAACCTCAAAAACTAAAGTATGCAATTACCGAATCACCACCTAAACCCCTTTCGATAGTCCACATAGACCTATATACGATAAATGGAAAGACAATCTTAACCGCAATTGATAAATTTTCAAGATTCGCAGCGGGATATACAATCCCTACAAGAGACTGCCTTAACACAACCAGGTCACTTCGAAGTTTCATTAACACATATGGTATTCCTCAAAAACTTATTTTTGATCAAGGTGCTGAATTTTCGGGAAAATTGTTCAGGGATTTCTGTAATCAATATAACATGGAAATCCATGTAACATCCTTCCAGCAATCTTCAAGTAACTCTCCAGTAGAGAGACTTCATTCCTCCTTAACGGAAATTTATAGAATAATCCTTAACAAGAAAAAACTAGAGAACCTATCTGTCGATCATGATGACATACTAACGGAAACATTTATAACGTACAACAATTCTATACATTCAGCAACCAAGCACACCCCACACGAACTTTTCACTGGTAGAACACACACATTCAATAAGGAAATAAAATTTAACAACGAACACGACTACTTACAACAGCTTAACGCCTTTAGGGAAAAACTATACGCTCAAGTGCAGAAAGACACAATTGAGCAGAAAACATCAAGAACACAAAACCTAAATTTGAACCGAGCCCAACCCGTAGAAACAAAGCCGGACGACATTATTTTTAGAAAAGAAAATCGCCGAAACAAATTAACGGCACGATTTACAAAACATACTGTTTTAGAAGATCTGGGAGACACTCTTATTACTAAGAAACGTCAAAAATTACATAAGTCCAAAATTAAAAAACGAATACACAATGAAAATAATGACTCTTTTTAACAATTACCTTGTCCTATAACTCTTACAGCCTCTCCCTATGCTACGTGACGACACAGTCATATAAAATGATAAAATTCCAACCCGATACGCCACTTGTTAACATCAACTTAGGGGAAGCTACACTTGTCAAGACATCAAAAACACTGTCACATGTGGTAGACTTAAGAGACTATCAGGAAAATATTGATAAAATCCAATTAGCATTAAATAATCTCAGAACCATAACCTTTTCAGGGGAAACAGTACACATCCTAAACTCTAAGGTACAACAGGTACGGGAAAAACTGGGAGCTTTGATTCCAAAAAATAGAGCAAGAAGAGGGTTAATTAATGGCCTAGGAAGTATAGTTAAAATAATTACAGGAAACATGGATGCCACAGATGATAGAGAAATTAAAAACCAG